GGGGGGGGGGGGGGGGGGGGGGGGGGGGGGGGGGGGGCAGGACTGTGAACATCATGAACTTGGACTTAAGAGCACAGACTTAGGTACTCCCTCTGCTTCTTACTTCGGTACATAGAATAGGGTATTTCTACATCCTCAGCATATCAGGCTGCTAAAGGGTAGTCTTAATTTTGTACACAATGGTAAACTCAGAATTTTATTGCTGGAAAAGATCTTATGGCTTATCTCTGACCCATATATTTTTATTGGTGAGGAAACTTCATGTCTTTGTTTATGTTCATGGCTTGTTAACGGCAGATCCATCAATGAAGCCAGGAAGCCCAAATAATATTTTCCTACTGCTCTGCATTTCTTCCTAAATACTAAGAAGTGTAGTCTTAATTGGGAGGGATGTCAAAATATGCATCCCACTGTAATTTTAGAAACGACCTAATCCAACATTCTTAAATTTTAAGTGTGGTTAATATTCTCAGCATTTCTCATTCTTTCTTCCTTTTGTTTGGGTACAAGAGAAGAATTCTCTTGGTAAATTAACTGGATTAGTCTCTGCTTTCCCACCACCCATTTAGAAGAATAGCCAGTTCTTCAAAATTTTACGATTTTGTAGGCTAATAAAATTCCTTTAATGATGAAATGCTCTCTTTTCTTTAATCTTTTACAATATAATGTTGAACTGAAAATATTTGAATTATATTAAAGTATAAATATTTCCCAAAATTATTCTTTGAGTTAAATGTCAAAGCAAAGTATAGGCTCCCTGCTGGGCCCTGGCGTCAGAGGTTGAGAGGGTCGCGGCGGCAGCGGGCGGGACGCCATCATGCCCCTGTATTACGAGGACAAGCTGGAGGGCAGCGCGTGCGCGGGCATGAAGGAGGACCTGGGCGAGTGTCTGCTGCAGTCAGACTGTGTGCTGCAGGAAGGAAAATCTCCTCGGCAGTGTTTGAAGGAAGGACACTGCAAAGCTTTGAGGTATTCGTTTTTTGAGTGTAAAAGATCAATGTTCGATGCCCGATCAAGATTCAGAGGAAGAAAAGGATATTGATACCATTATGTTGAAACCAAGATGAAAACAACAAAGGATTACCTCTGGTTATTAACACAGAGAAGCCAAAATAGGAAATGTACTTTTTGCTAAATCCAGGTGTTTGGACCAGTTTTTCTCTCTGTGGAATACTAGAGAAAACGGATGAGTTCTGTTTTTGAGTGTGTATAAAGTAAATGACTCTGTTGATCTAAGTTTTTAGAAGAACAATTCAATTGAACAATTTGGGCTGAGAGCATAATGTGTTTTGAGAATTGTTCTTTAGAACAAAGAATGGAAAGATTGTTATTTTCAAACTTGACTCTTCAACCAAATTAGTTCGTACATCCTGAAGGCCACTGATATGACCAACATGTAACATGGAGCCTGTCAGAAGATGGAAAAGTTTAGGAAAAAACTTTAACTCAATCTGTCCTATTTAGTTCTAAAACCATGTTTGATTCCTTGGAGAAGAATTCTTCATTTGCAGTGATTGACTGAAGTTACAGCTTCAAAAACTGAATGTCACCCATAGGCATAGCTTGATGCCAAGCCTCAGATGATATTGCCAGAGCTCCTTACCATCTCCTGATTGTTTTCTCTGGCTTAATTTTCAGGCTGGTCCTCTCCATGTAATGGGCCAGTGTCAACCATAAGCCCACACCCTTAAGATCTGTGATTCAAAAAGGAGAGAGACAACTTCCTTTTCCAAGATCAAAATCAAATCCTGCCAAAGGACTCTAGTCTTCCCCAGATTGCCTGCCACTGCGTTGGACCAGTCCTGTGGGAAAAAGAGGTGGGGGTCTGTGGTCTTGTCCAGGCCTGTGTCATATGCACTATAATTGATAACTCCCATCAGGATCACAGTGGATGAGGAAGGGGGATTCAGAGCAAACTGAAACAAATAGATGTTCACTACAGAAAGTAAGAATGGAAAACATGAAGTGGCTGAAAAAGTTTAGCATTATAGTAATTAATTTTATTATCACTTAGAGAGCCAAATAGGAATCTAAGTTCCCAACTTTACTTTTGATATTGAAGAATTAAGAACCACAGCTCCTTTATATTTCCATAGTTCATTGGAGTTAAAGCAGTCAAGGTATTGTGTAGTTCCCTTGCTTTTTTAAAGGTTTGCCTAAAGTTGTGAGAATTCCATACCAGCATGGGTTGTTGTAGAATATCACTGAGGTCTGCCATGTGTACTAGTTTTCACCAGGAAAGGGAAAATGATGGATATTTTTCAGTAACTGTTTAAGTGCTACAACTTTCATTAAAAGTAACTTCAATAAGAAAAAAAAAAAAGCAAAGTATAAAAGTTTAACTGAAAATTTTCATAGGGATATTAAAGATCCATGAAGACAGAAGTGAAGGTCATTCAATCAGTATTAATATAGTAACTTTGTTTAAATATATACTGTGTGTTAGGCCTTTTGTTAGGTGTTAAGGTAAGAGTTTTGTCAGAAGAAGAAAAATAACGTTAAGCCTTTTGAATAAGTACCATAATAGAATTAAGCACAAGATGCTTTGGGGAATCACGGGAGGCTGCATAGAATGACTACAAAGAGTGCGGATTCTGGAGCCAGACTGCTGGATTTCATATCCTAGTGCTGCCACTTACTATCACTCATTGTCTTTAACCTCTTTGGGCCTTGGTTTTATTATCTGTAAGACAGGGATCATAATGGTTTTTACCTTATGGGATTGTCACGAGAATTAAATGAATTAGTATATGTAAACAGCAAGGAGAAGCATAGTCCTGTTGCAGGAAGACAGACCAGACAGTTCCTGTAAGTCATGGTGGGGTGACAGAACCCAGTGGATTTGGGTATTCCCAAGTAGGTCCATGTTGCAATTGTATTTTGTGTGCCAGGTTCTCTGTTTGTAGTGAATTGGGCACAATCTGAAAAGATACGACCATGCCCCTTGTCTGACTGGACTAGAATGCAAGTTATGAAAACATTTCATTACAATAATGATAAAATCTGTAGTGTCAAGATATCATGATGCACTTAGTAACTGTCCCTGAAAACAATCTGTACCTAAAAACATGCCTATCAGTAAAGAACAACAAAGGTTGGCTAAATCTAACAGGGTACAATGGCCAGGGAAAAAGCTTGCTAAACTTGTACTGTTACATTAATCGAAAATAATAAATGAAAAAGAAGCTTAAACCAATGATATTTGATGGAACTATTAAAACACGATTTGTGAGTCCTCTAATGTCCTGCCAATATGAAAGAGACACAGCCCTAACATGATCCAGGCAAGAGAAATAAAAAATAGTGAACAATGCATCAAAAAAAAGTAAAAGTCCAATGGTCTAAATCACTCTCTACCATACGAAGTAAAAGTAGAACTTGGAACATTTCTATGTTTTATGAAAATAAGCAAGAGAATACAATTCAGGGAAAGTTTGGCAGCTGCCAACGAAAACAGAATAAACTTTTGCTTCCAAAGAGACTGATTAAAATTCACGTTCCTTCTTGCATTCAAGCTTTCCACATGAGCTGAATACAGAAGAAAATAAATGAACTACCTCAAGACTCACAATAACTATGGAAACATAAATTCAGAAAGTTAAATAAGATTTTCCTTCAATACCCCAAATTCAAGTTCGTATTCAAAGAAAAGAAAACCATTATCAGACTCTCATCTTCTAGAGATTAACCTTGAAGTTCCCTTCCCATCTTGTTTTAGTTTATTTTACTTCTGCCTAAGAAAACTTCCTAGCCAACTGGCTCTGAAAATAAGAAGAAACAGGCACACTAAAAAACAAGTGAAAAACATATTTCCTTCCTATAGGAGCCCTTGAAGATAAATTACCAATCACTTAAAACAATGAAACATACACACCATCAACAGGATGCACTGACTTTCTTTCACTTGTGGCAGCAATGAATTTTTAAAGATTCAAACCCATAAATCCTAAATGCTTTCTAGAATACAGTCATTGTACTATTCCTCAGGATACAGAGCAGAACTCCCTCAGACCACTCCTGTTCATCTTTCTTTGTCTCCCATAGCTTTCACAGTAAAGGGTCTGTCAGAACTCACTGCATTAAATGGGTCAGCTAAACTAACCAAAGGAACACAGATCCCTAATCTTGTCCTGACATGCATGCTGTTATCAGTGACCACAAGCTTGCCCTGCAGAAACCGGGGTCCACCTGACATTACAAATTTGACAAAACAACTTTCTACCAAGGAATATAACACTGGTTATTACAGTAATTATTACCAGAAAAGAAGTCCTAGAACTGAAAGCTGATATGTTATCTAGAACCATCATCCTAATTTCTCTAATTTAAGAGAAATGGCACCACTGAAACATCTCACTGACAAGACTCACACAGTGCCAAACAAAGATGCTCTACTTTTATATTTTAAAACAAAACAAAAATATCACTTTATGTTCGTATGTTTTTTGCCCTTTTTTTGAATGGCAGTACAAAAATCTGAATACATAAAACAGAAACCTTGGGGTGGTGGGGGTTGGGAGGGGACGACGACTTGTCAGGAATCCACTTAAATGAAAGGGGTGTGAACTTTTTCCAAATACCTTATCAGGCCACCACTGCAAATCTTCTCCTAGAGATACTGGACTTTGAACAGGTGTGTTCTTCTTATCCAAGTTTGGCTCTCCTTCCTTGCTGGTAGAACCCCTTTCATTATCAAATGAGGCTCCATCAAGCCACCTTCGTTCACGTAAACGTAAAACGGATTCACGTTCACGCAACAGCTCAGAGTCTCTCTCTAAGGGAAGAAGGAGAACTGGTATGCAATTGGGTCACACCAGTGGGATAAAAGTAAGCCACTCTCTAGTAAAGACCCTTCAGGATGCAACTAACAGCAGTTTGTCTACTCACAAAAACTTATGTAAATGTATATCTAATAAGGCTGACATGCAACATTCAAAACATTAACCCTTTCAAGTGAATGCATAAAAATTACAAACTGGTATTTTTTAAAAATTGTATGCAGGCACTCTTTTCTATATTTCAGCTACATGTTTTTAGAGCAGAATTCCTTTATTTTAAACTAGACATTGGGGTTTTTTTAATGGAGTTTAAAATTTGGGGCTCTCATTAGAAATGCTTACTATAAACTTTTTAATTTATGTATTAGGAAATGTGCATAAATTAGAATTTCAACACATTAGATATACATAAGCAAACCAAAAGAGTATGTTGGTTACAAACTCTTCAGTTATTTTTAAAAAAAATAAATGCACACAGAAAAAAAATAACTTCAAAAGATTACAGATCCATTCATATAAAAGTCTTATTAAAATCATTTGATGACAGACCGGCTCCCGCTCACTGGCTGAGGGAGGCGCGGGAGCAACACCGAGGCTTGCAATCCCGTTGCCGGTCCCCGGTCCGGTACAGGGGCAACACTGAGGGTTGCGATCCGTTGCCGGACACGGAAAAAAGACAAAAAAGACAAAAAAAAAAAAAAAAAAAAATCATTTGATGAATTAGTAGGCTTTTTTTAGAGAATTTTTATAGAAAAGATTTCCTTACCAAAATGCTTCACCTGCAATTGGCCTACAAACTGTCTAAAGCCAGTTTTTTGGGGTTTTTTTTGTTTTATTCTGTTTCAGTTTGCTTATACATTACTTTTTTATATAAGGTAATTTAAATAAACTTTGCAAGATTAGGGTAATAAGGATTACATACAATATTAAGCTGAGCCATACAAAATTGCCATACACACAGGTCAAAAGTGATCAAATAACTAACTATTTCATATGTTTCAAACTAAATATAATGCTTACAATAGAATAGGAAAAAAAAACTTATTAGGAAAAAAGAGGAAGAAATTTAGGAGGAGTAATTTATATTAAATATTAAATATTTGAAACTACAATAGTGGATACATTTAAAGCAGTAAAGTATGCTCTTTATTTTAAATTTTTTAAAGCTATCACATAATACATTCAGTATACTATATTAAAAGATCACCATAGATCTGCTATTTTAAAACTCTGCTTTTAAGTATTAGGTATGTGCAGCAAAGTCTTAATATAACATGGCATCTTTTCCAGTTTATTAATGCTCAGTAAATACAGCTGATTTTTGCCTGTTATTTGAATCAAGCAGTTTTACATATGGCAATGTAAAAATACTGACAAAGTTATAATGCAACCTTAAGCCACATACAAACATATAGAGAGGACAGATGAATAATATCGAAATCTTCATTCTAACCTCTACTATGTCCTATTTCTTTTAAGAATTTTAAACTTTTGAAAACTGCATTCTAATAAGCTAAACATTTCTATACATTTAATATTAGCCAATCCCATGGTAATAAGTTTTTCCATATTTCATTCTCCCATCTAACCAGGATTTAAAATGAGCAGAACAAGGACTTTATTTTAATCCAATAAACTAAGGAAACTTGTTTTCTGAATGCTGCATGTCACTATAAAGTAGAATTCTGCTTTTAGTTCAGAATCCATATTCCTAATTAAAAATACAGTTAGGTAAGTTGTAACCTTTGATATGTATTCCACAACATAAATAAGATCATCTCTAAAATATGACTGTGACTGCTCAAAATCAAAATTAACTAGTTTTAGTGCCAAAGCATCTAAAAACACTAAGTTCTGATTTCATCTACAGTAATGTTGAAAGTTCAAATAGAGTGAATTCTACCACTGTCTTTCCATATAGCCAGCCTGTGATCAAAAAGAAATAAATACAAAATTACCTCGAGATGAGCCTAGCCTGGAAAGTGATGAACGACGAAAAGAAGGGTAACCAAAATAGCTAATATCTTCAGAAAACATGGCATCTGCATCAATAATGACACTTGGGTGGGCCGAATGAATGTCAGCATCAAGAAGAGACATAAGATCCTCTACAAACAGAAACAAATGAATATAAATGAAGCAGCTATAGAGAGACCATCTGTGATCACTAAAATACATTAAAATTAGGGACTGATATAACCTGAGAAAAAAGTAAAAACTACCTAAAGATTTTAAGGAAAATCAAATGCATAATTGTTGCCTGGGCTATTTACTAAATAATCACAAGAAAAAAGAGCACTCTTTAAGATATATGACTTATCACATCATAGAGATAATCCAGTCAAAATCAAAATGCAGTTCAATTACTACATCTTCAGGAATAAAGGCACCCCCCCCAAAAAAATTCCAGAGACATCTGTGAGCCAGTGATAAACCATGCACATACAACCATGTCTTTATTGGGACCAAGCACAAGTCCAATGGGCAAAAACATTTCCCCGTTTTCTCTTAACAAATTTGACAATCAAATCAAGCAGCTCTATGGTGAGAAACATGAGTATCTCCTACTGTGGAAAGAATAGCCAGAAAATCAATTGTTCTTTAAAATTCCACAACCTAGTCAAAAGAGTATTCCAGAAATGAGAAAGCCACGATGGTGATCCACCAACCTCCAGGCAAATAAGATTCACTGGCTGTATCATCCCCATCATCTCCATCTTCATCATCCCGGCTAAGTAAATTATTTACGGCAAGGTTTACATCAAGGTTTGTTCGCTGAAGTTCTCGAATAATGACACTTCTGGATTTGCCTTGTAAAACAACTTGGGCCTGAAATAAAACATAAAGGAGAGCAGTATGCTAATTTTCTTTTAATTCTTCATCAAAATTAGCTTTCTAGGATCAATGCAGAAAAGTAATTCATGATATGAGTCATGACTATGAACCACCATATTCAGTTAAACCTCACCTTGTCCTATTTGTCTTACATTAAATGTTCTACAAGTATTCTACAATACCTGTGAAATCAGCTCCTCTGGAATGACAGATGCTGGAATAACTGGCTGGGGCTGACTGCCCAAAAGCCCGGACCCTCGATCCCGTCCTGTACGAATAACTCGAGTCTGTCGGCGGGAATCACGAGCTCCAGCTGATGACCTACCAGAAGATCCTCCTCCACTTCCACCCACTCCAGAACTCCAGCGGCTTCTAAATATTGGAGAATTTATAAAATTAGCACTTTAAACAACCATTCTGCAAAGATCACTTTGAGTCTCTTTTATTCTTTTAAGCTAAGATAAACTTACTTGTCTAATTGATATATTTTACAGTAATGTTTTGACAAAAGAAAAAGATAATACAACTGAACTTTTTTTTTTTCCTTTTTGTCTTTTTACTGACCGGTAACAGGATCGCAACCCTCGGTGTCGCACCTGTACCGGGGACCGGCAACGGGATCACAACCCTCGGTGCTGCGCCCGCACCGCGCTCAGCCAGTGAGCGGGAACCGGTCTCCACATGGGATCCAAACCCTTGGCGGGAGCGCCGCCGCGCTCCCAAGCGGCGCACTCTCCAGTGCACCACCGGGCCAGCCCACAATTGAACTTTTATATAACACTAATTTGTTAATGCTTAAGTGTAAATTTACTTTCTAAGATAAATATCATACTTTTGCATCTTTTAAAATAATTTTTAAAAGATCCACATAGATATTTCTAGTCTCAACCCTAGGATGAACATATCTCACCTTTGCATGAAAGACACATCAGACCTAACTACAAACATTCTGTTACACAAAAAGTAAAATTCTGAGTTTACAACTCAAAGTGTTTCGGAATAAAACATTCATTTCCAAAGATAGTATTAAATTAATATTTAGTACTATTAAACATCTTGACCAAGGGAAGCTACTATTTAGAACATGTTCAGTAAGTATGAAAAAACTCAGAAAGGGCATTACATCTACATCTTCACTTACTATCCCAAACATGAGAATTATGAAGCTTCAGATCAAGTAATCTAGGTAACTGTAAAACAATTGCTTTTCTGCATTCTATCAGATCTTAAAGAAAACGGTCACACAAATCACTTTAGCCTTTTAAATTAGGATAGGGCAAGTTCTCTTTAAAATGAATCAAATACTTAGAAATCATTCAGCCTAGAGAGAGGTACTTTACTACCAACTCCTTTTGCATTCACCTAAGACTGCAACCTCCAAACTTACATTGCAAACAGTTTAATTTGATTTTCCAAATCTTTTTTATTTCCCTAAAAAAGGTTTGGATACGAGTATACTCCAAAAACTTCATGGAAAGATTTGTATTTTCTTTTCATTTTATTTTTCCACAAACTTTTTGAAGTACCCTCGTTAACCAATAATAATTCTCAAATCACTATACATAAATTTTCTTGGTTTCTCTTCTTACTTAACAGGAAAAGCCTAATTTCTGCCTAAACAAAAAACTTTTTAAATAGTTTCCTTAGTAAAATGAAATAAAATCACCAGAAAAACTGGTGTCATCCTTTTTGAAGGCCTTCTGCATTTGCTGATGCATAGTATTAATCCATGTTTATGCAGTATCTGTGCTATAGCCTAAGAACTGCCCAAGATAATTCTGAAGAAAAACAATATTTTGCATCATCAGGGCTACAGTATAAAACAGCTCTTATTTCAGCTGAGTAACAGATTTTTTAAATATCATGTTAAATTACCATTCATAGGCCATAAGAAAAACAAAGGGGCTTCATTAAAGCACATTACATTAACAAAAAAGGAAATTAAGAAAACAATTTAATTTACAGTAGCATCAAAAAGAATAAAATACGGGCCGGCCCGGTGGCGCACTGGATAGTGCGCCGCTTGGGAAGCGCGGTGGCGCTCCTGCTCGAGGGTTCGGATCCCACATACAGACCGGTTCCCGCTCACTGGCTGAGCGAGGCATGGGGGCGACGCTGAGGGTTGCAATCCCGTTGCCGGTCCCCGGCCCGGTGCGGGGGCAACACTGAGGGTTGC